ACCACCGTGTTCCCTCTCGCGACGAAGTCCGACGTGACTTCTACGCTGATCAGGTGGTTGCTGGCCACTGAGACCACACGTGGCCGTCGTGTCAGTTGTCTTCACTCCGACCGTGGGGGTGAGTTTTGCTCCGGCATTCTTCGCGGATTCTGTAGTGAGCAGGGCATCACCCAATCCTGGACGCTTCCAGAGTCCCCACAGCAGAATGGGATTGCTGAGCGCCGCATAGGCTTGGTCATGGAGATTGCCCGTACCTCCATGATCCACGCCCGTGCGTCCCATTTTCTGTAGCCCTACGCGGTTCGCTACACCGCCCACCAGCTGAACCTCTGGCCTCGTGTCTCTCGGCCAGGGGCTTCACCGACCAGTCTTTGGACCGGGTCCCCTGGTGTTGCGTCGGAGTTTGGCGTCTGGGGCTGCATTGCGCTTGTCCGCGACACCTCTGCGAACAAGCTCTCGGCCCGCGCCTTCCCCTGTGTCTTCCTTGGTTTCCCCTGTGACTCCTCCGACTACACCTTTTACCACCCGCCCCTCCACCGGTTCCTTGACTCTGGTGACGTCCGGTTTAGCGAGTCCGTGTCTTACTACACCCAGTACCCCTGTCGAGGTCTCCCGGTTCCTCCTCCTCCCCTTTTCCTCGCCCCCTCTTCTCCTGCTCCCACTCCTCCGGTACACCCGCCCCCCCCTGGTCCTGCCCCATCTGGTGTGTCCCACGCTACCCCTCTCCCCTCGGTAGCACGTCAGCTACCGTCTCCTTCCCCATAGTCGTCCTCACGGTCACCGCAGCAGCCTTCGGCACTACTGCGGCAGGTTGCATTAGACTCTGGGGGTGTTGGTGTTGGGGGCACGAACGCTGGGGATGCTAGTTTTGAGGGTGCTGGAGCTGAGGGTGTTGGCATTGGAGATACTAGTTCTGAGGGTGCTAGAGCTGAGGCTACTGGCGCTAGAGGTGCTCGTTTTGGGGGTACTCGCGCTAGGGTTGCTGCCACTGGCAGTGCTAGTTTTGGGGGTGCTTGTCTTGGGGACACTAGTTCTGGAGGTGCTAGTTCCGAGGAGACTGGAGCTGGAGGCACTGCTACTGTGGTGCCTACCCCACCTCCCCACCGCTACCCGACGAGTTTCCAGATGATTCGTCAGCTGGAGCGCAAGGATCGGGAGCGGTTGGAGCAGGAGAGGCTGGGGCTGGAGCTGCAGCAGCAGGAGCAGTAGCAGCAGGAGCAGCAGCAGCAGCAGCAGCAGCAACAGCCGCAGCCCTTGGAGCCGTTGTTTCCACCTGTGAGTGGCCTTCTGGCCCTTGGAGTTCCTTCCTCTCCTCCAGACGGCTCACTGTCTCCCCCTGCTTATGGTCCTACGTTCTCCCCCCCCCGGACTCTTTTCCGGCTGTCTTCTCTCCTCCTCGGTCACAGTCGTCTCCTCCTGTTGTCCCGCACGACTGGACAGTGCGCTGTCCCGCTCGTGCTCGTCCCTCGTCTCCTTTTGATGACCTCCGCACTGTCTTACTTTGTTCGAGTCCTCGTCGTTCTCCACCTTCTGTTCTCCTGTCACCTCCTGAGTCGTCTCTTACAGCCTCCACCTCCACCCCTATCACTGACTACTACTGTGCCACCCGTCCTATTGTCACTCGTGTTCTCGCCTCTCTAGTCACGGACCCTCGTGCCTCTCCGTCGTCTATCTCGGCTCTTTCTGCCACTGTCGATGACTTTGCCGCCACCCGCCGCCTTGACTACGCCACTCGTGTGGTAACTGCCCGTCCTCTGTCCGCCGGGGGTGAGTCTGCCCTTGACTGTGACGTCCTTGAGGACAGGCAGTTTGAGCTGGAGTTCTTGGCGGTCGCTTCTCCCCATCTCTGTGCCATGCTGCTAGATCCTGAGGAAGACCCCGACGCCCTTGACATACCGACTCCTTGCACGTACTGTGAGGCAATGTCAGGACAGTGGGCTTCTCAGTGGATAGCGACAATGGAGTCAGAGATGGCGTCTTGGAGATCCACAGGCACTTACGTCGACGCAGTTCCCCCACCCAGGGCGAACATAGTCGAGGGCATATGGATTTTCAAGGTAAAGGGCCCGCCTGGATCGCCGCCTGACTTCAAGGCGCGCTATGTGGCTAGAGGTTTCAGTTAGCGTAAGGGAGTTGACTTCTTCCAGACCTTCGCCCCGACCCCGAAGACGACGACTCTTTGGGTGTTGCTTCACGTTGCAGCACAGCGATACTACGAGCTGCACTCCCTCGACTTCTTCACCGCCTTTCTCCAGGGCACCTTCCACGAGGAGATCTAGTTGCGTCGTCCTCCTGGCTTCACTGGCACTTTCCCGCCCCGGACCCAGTGGAGCCTGAGGCGACCAGCCTACAGTCTCCGCCAGGCGCCTCGTGAGTGGCACGACACGCTGCGCACTACTCTTGCTGCCCTCGGGTTTCGTCCTTTGTACGCCGACCGGTCTCTGTTTGTTCGTTCTGGGCCCACACCCTTCTTCGTCCTCGTCTACGTCGACGACTTGGTCTTTGCTACAGCAGACAGGACTGCACTGGCTGAGGTGAAGTCCGAACTGCAGAAGAGACACACATGCACTGACCTTGGTGAGCTGTGCCACTACCTTGGCTTGCAGATCACCAGGGACAGAGCCGCTCGCACCATCACACTCACACAGTCACACATGGTAAGGCAGGTCCTTCAGCGGTTTGGGCTTCAGCACTCCAGCACAGAACCCACTCCTCTTCCCGTTGACCACAGACTCACCAGCCCTTTTCCCGACGAGCCTTTTGAGTCTAGTTGTCCCTACGCAGAGCTTGTGGGCTGCCTCATGTACCTGGTGGCTTGTACTCGTCCAGACCTCGCCTTTCCCCTCAGTGTCCTCTCTCACTTTGTTGCAACTGAGAGACACCGTCCTGTTCACTAGACAGGTGCTGTAAGGGTGGCGAAGTACTTGGCGACTACATCAGGCATGGGGCTTATGCTTGGAGGGACACAGCCAGTTGTACTGAATGGTCACTACGACTCTTCCTATGCCGATGACGTGGAGACACAGAGGTCCACTCAGGGCTACAGCTTCAGCTTGGGCACTGGAGCTGTGTCGTGGAGGTCTACTCAATCGTCTTCTGTGGCTTCGTCAAGTGCTGAGGCAGAGATTTACGCCGGTGCCATAGCTGCGCAGGAGCTTCGCTGGTTGACTTTCTTGCTCACTAACCTTGGTGAGCGGCCGAGCTGTGCACTGACCTTGTTCGCTGATAACAAGGCCATGACCCTCCTGTGTCGAGAGCCTCGACTGGAGAGCAGAGTGAAGCACATCGACGTCAGGTACTTTCTCCTGCGAGAGTTGCAGCGACGTGGTCAAGCACGCTTGGACTTCGTGGCCTCAGAGGCCAACACTGCAGGCATCTTCACCAAGGCCCTTCCGCCTGGTGACCACCACAGGTTCTGTTTCCAGTTAGGCCTTGTTGGCGTAGGCTCTTGGCTACAGTAGTTTGTCTCTTGTTGCTTGCTGTACTTCTATGTATGTCTGCGAACTCTTGAACTGGCCTTGTGGCCTCTTGTTTGTGCTCAGAATGTATTGTGACTTCGTGATCCAACCTGAGCTTGCTGTGTTTCTTTTCTTGACTTATCTTTTGACCACATGCATGTCATATTTGTTTTGGTGCCCCTCACTTAGCCTATGGGGGTGTGTCAAACTATGTTTGTAGATATAGATATGCTCAAGTGATTTGCATGTTAGGGGGTATCAGAGGTCCACTGGTGATCCCCGATTGATCCTAGGGAAGGGTTACAGGCATGTTGGCCTGGGGGGTTATGGGCGCACTATGACCCGCTACTTAACAAGCCCTTTTATCCCAATGGTCTAGTGGTTGGGATTCTGACAGGGGGTACAAAACTTAAGATAACTGCACAGCTTCACCATTTGTTTGACCTAGTCTCACCATTCTCTCTCGACTGAAGTAACTAGATTCTTAAGATAACTGCACAGCTTCACCATTTTGCATCGCCACACAACAAGAGTAACTGCACAGCTTCACCATTTTGCATCGCCACACAAGAGTAACTGCACAGCTTCACCATTTTGCATCGCCACACAACAAGAGTAACCACACAGCTTCACCATATTGCATCGCCACACAACAAGAGTAACCGCTCAGAATGAATGAAGGAAGAAACCGCCCTTACTCATTTATTTCATACTCTGAATACCGACATCATGACAATTTGCCCTGCACCATCAGCAGTCACAAGTGAGTATGAATTGGAGTGAGAAGCAGCTAGGGGCAGTTTGCGGGAGTTTGAGGTGCCTTTTTGAATAACCTGCGTGGCTGCGTGCAAGCAATCACACTGACACTTGTACTATTTCCTAAACTATCCAGGTAATCGCCCGTGAAAAGAACCTGCTCACATGCGCAGTCACAACTGGCGTAGGCTCGGGTCGAGTGCTCCTAGGCTCGTCCTTTTTTCTCGCCGTGCCACTGTCGGAGCATGCCCTCCCTCGATGATGCGATGCGCCACTGCCTCCGCCGCAGCCTGCGGACCGCAGTCACTGGCAGTCCGCTTGGCGAAAATTCTTCCCCCCTTCTCGCGCGGCCCTACGTGTCCTTCCTTAGTACGCGCTGCACAACCGCGCATGCGGCAGTTCGCGCGCGCATTCACGAGTGCCTTGGAGCAGCAGCTCACGCGCGGAAGGCAGGAGCAGGTGCGTGGACGCGGCTCGCATCGAACCCCCACCTGGGCACCTGGGCACGATGCTCGGCGGGCGGGCAGCGCTGGAGGAGGGCCGTGCGGGCGGAGACAAGGCATTCGCGCGAGGAGGGGATGTGAAAGCAAGGTAAAAGGGCCGATGTAAGGATGATGGGCGTGCGTGCGGTGGAGAGATGAAGCAGTGGCGTTAGTCGTTCAGACCATCATTCCTGGCTGCGAGTCGCAACGCGCAGTGGTTGCTTTGAAAGGCACACGGCCGTGCGAGGCGGCGAGGTGCGGGCAGCGGCGAGATTAGAAGGGCGGCAGAGCAAGGCGCGCGACTATGGACGGCCGCGCAAGTGGGTTCGGCAGCAGCGGTGGCGCCTGGGCGAACATCTTCGCCACTTTCTCCCGCACGGTCGCGCGCAACATGACGTTCAAGCGAAGCCGCGGCCGAGGCGGCGGCGCGCGCGGCGGCAGAGGGCGGGGCGGCAGGGGCAGGCGGAGCGCGCGGGTGCGCGTAGAGGGCGTGCTGCGCGACACAGTGGGCTAGGCGGTGGCGCGCGTGACGATCAAAGGATGCACGCCTGCGAGCAGCGTGGGTGGGGGCGGGCGCGCGAGCACGGCAGCAGCAGTGGGCGTCGCTGGGGGTCGCCTTTGTGGATCTGCTCTCGCCAGACGCCGCCGACTCGCTGCTGCCCTGCGAGCGCGCAGGTGCCTCGCTGCACGTGGGCGGGCGCACGCTGGCCGTGCAACGCGTGGTGGAGCACCGGCGCGCGCCTGAGGGCCTCCTGCATGCCGCCACTGTCCACGTGGGCTTCATCCAACGGCCCTGCGAGCTGGCAGTGACGTGGCAGTCCAAGGCAAAGGAGTGTCGCGTGGAGTTTGACGTTCTAGACAGGAAGGTGCGAGTGTTAGTGGGAGGCGGCATGAAGGACGTGCGCCTGCAGCACCGCCTGGAGTGGCGCATGAGGGACGTGCGCCTCTGGGCCGCCCCCCACCGCGCCGCCGCTGCACACAGACTGTCTGCCCGCCGCCCGCCCTCGCTGCTGCTGTTGCCCACCGTTCCGCCCGCTGTGTTCTCGCGGCTGTGCGATGACGACGTATGGGAGTACAACCCTTCCGCGTTCCCCGATGACAGCGACCCCTGGACCCGCACCACTGACCACCGCCTCGCACCCACCGCCCTGCCAGGGGGCGGCAGCAGAGGTTGAGTGGCCGCAGTGGGCCGCAGACGGTGGGGAGGAGGGGTGCTGGGGGTGGCGTCAGTGGTGCAGGTGTCAGTGGGGTGGGAGAGCGGCGAGCAGGTGAGGGAGATAGCAGAGCGCATGCGCACAGCGGGGCTGTGCCGCACAGCAAGGCACCTGGGCCAACCGCACCGCACAGTCATCGCCTCGTTCTTCCGCCCGCAGCCGCCCATCAGCATCGCACCCTTTGTCTGCCTGCACCCCTGCTGGCCCTCCACTACCTCCGCCACCACCGCCAACACCACCAGCGCAGGCACCAGCAGCAGCAGCAGTGGCAGGACGGGTGTGCAGGCAGCCGTGCTGGCCTTCCCAGTGCTATACGTGCTGACGCTGCTGGTGCAGGCGGGCACCATCCCTCTCTCTGCCGTGAGCGCGCCCCTCTACAGCGCGCTGGTGCGTGAGCCTGCCCGTGCCGCTGTGGCGGTGCTGCTGGAGTTCACGCGCTTTTCCCGCCCCGAGTTCGACCCTGCGGGCGTGGACATACGGCGTGGACATGCGGTGTGCGCCATGCGGCGCCAAGGCAAGCTGCCAGGGAGAGATTCGCGGGCGGAGGAGGGAGCAGGGGGGCAAGCGAGGGGAGCGGCGTCGGAGGGAGCGAGGATGCGGCGCCGGGAGGAGGCTGCACAAGGGCAGGGGAAGGTGGAGGAGCGACGGGAGCGGCATGAGGAAGAGGAGGACGGGCAGGCGAGGCGGCCGCAACAGGGAGCTGAATCAGCGGCGGAGCAGAGCAAGAGCGAGAGCAAGAGCGAGAGCGAAAGCGAGAGCGAGAGCGAGGCGTGGCCATGGGCGCTCCCTGAGAACCATGTGCTTGTCTCCCGGCTGCTCGTCACGCCCCTGGCGGCACTGTGCTGCCTGCCCAGCGTGGAGCTGGCGAACCGAGTGCTCTCGCACTACCGCCCGCACGCGCACCGCTTCCTGCGCGTGACCTTCACGGAGGAGGGCGTGCGGCACCTGGCGTCGTTCGCCCTCGTGGGTGCAGCTTACCGTGCGGAGGAGGCTGAGGCGGAGCACAGCGCACGCACCGACGTGTACCGGCGGATTCTGAGGCTCGTGAACAAGGTGTGGGGGAGCAGGAGAAGAGGTTTTGGCGCAGCTGGGGAGCTTGTGGCACAGGTGAAGGGGGTTTGACGCAGGTGAATGGGGGGGAGAAGGTGAGAGGCCGTAATCTCTTGCATTTTTTTATGCATCCCCCCCCGGGCCCCCTGCGCGACGCCCCGGCCCCTGACAGGGCTTTGAGCTGTGTGGGCGGGGCTACCGCTTCCTGGCGTCGTCGGCGTCGCAGTTGAGGGAGAAGTCGGCGTGGTTCCTCACGGAGGAGCCCCACCTGGGCCTCACTGTCACCTCCATGCAGGTGGGCCTTTGACCCAAAGAGCACCATTTATTAGTGGTAGGAGACATCGTGCATGAGGCTGTAAAAAGAACCTGTTTTGTTGTCTCGTTTGGAGAAGTCGGCGTGGTTCCTGGCAGAGGAGCCCCACCTAGGCCTCACTGTCGCCTCCGTGCAGGTGGGCCTTTGAGGCGCCTCAAGAGGCTGCCTCCGTGCACGTGGGTGGGCTGCTGGCTTGTTTGTCAGCCAGTCAGTCAGTGGCCAGTCAGTTCTAATTTATTTGTCACTCAGTCATTCGATAAGCACACAGTCAGTCAGTGTGACCGTCAGTCAGCTAGTTGATAACTCTGTCAGTCAATTGATCAGTCTGCCTGTAGGTTAATTAGCTGGTAAATCTTTCAGTCAGTCATCCATCAGTTTGTCAGGTGTGTGTGAGTGTCATTGGTACCATTGCCTTGTACCCTCACACTCACGGCCTCTATCTATCTATGCTGCTGCATTGGTGTGGTTGCGAGTGGGCCATGGGGGCATGTGGGGGGTGTTGTCGGGGTGTTGCCGGGGTTGTGCCGTGCTGCTGGGGATTTTTGAAAATCCCCAAAAAGCGTCCCTGCAGGCGTGGATGGGAACCTTCACCACCATCCGCAACGTGGCCAAGTGCGCCGCCCGCATGGGGCAGTGCTTCTCCTCGCGCTTCACCTCGCTGCGCGCCCTCGTGCGCACCCTCCCGGACGTCACGCGACACGGCTACTGCTTCACAGACGGAATCGGCGCCATCTCCCCCGAGGCCGCGAGAGCTCTGGCGGACGCCGTTGCTCTGTACCTCGACAGTCCCCTGGGGCTGGCAGAGGGATGCGCTCCCATGGGGAGGGGCGGGGGGGCGTGGCTGCGTGCGCCGTCGGCGTTTCAGATCCGGTACGCGGGGGTGAAGGGGGTGGTGGCGGTGTGGCCACGTGGGGTGATGCAGCGGGTGGAGGCGCAGGGGGCCAGCGGGCTCGGCACCGCACCTGCTGCTGGCGACAAGGGCAGCAGCAGCAGCAGCAGCAGCAGCAGCAACAGAAGGTGGAGGAGGAGGAGGCGGCGGTGGATATGTGGTTCCGCAAGGGGCAGTGTGCGGACGCGTGGTGGGCACAGGCACGGCAGGGGGGGTGGGGGGACGGGGAGGCGGGGCGTGGGAGAGCAGGAGTGGTGCACATGTGGGTGCGGGAGAGCATGGACAAGTTTGAGTCGCAGCACGCGCATGTGGAGGTGGTGAACTGGATGCGTCCGCAGGCGGGCTTTCTCAACCGCCAGATCGTCACTCTGCTATCCACGCTGGGCTTCCCTGACCTTGTCTTCCTTGATATGCAGGTGCGCCCCCTCCATTGCTCCTCTGCTCCCCTGCTCTCCGTCTTACTTCGTCTGGCCACCGTCCGTCCACCACTGCAGCCTGCACATGCACCCACTGCCTGGTTCATACCTATTTGAACCAGAACCGCTTTTAACCGAACCAGAATCAGTCCGGGTTGAACCAGCCAGTGACCCTGCCGGCACTTGGCACGACCTATATTGGTTGAACCATTCCCGGTTCGACCCGAACCGGGGCTCGTTCGGTTTGAAACGGTTCTGGTTCGGTTCACCATGATCAAGGTGTTGTAGGGGTAGCATGATGGGGGGATGTGTGGAATAGGCTAAGAAGGAGCTGGAGCTGAAAAACTAGCTTTCAACCCTCATTTTCCAACTAAAAGTGATCCTGCACGGCCCAAGGCGCATGGGTTCCAACATTCAACGCAGCTCGGGACCGGACCGGTCGAAGTGGCCGAACCGGTTCGAGCAGAACCAAAACCGGATCGCCTTGAACAGAACTGGCTCATGCCTGCTCGGAGTAATGGGGAGGAGCAGCCATCCCTATGCCCCCATGCAACCCTCTCCCCCACCCTCCTCTCCCCTCACCCACTACCGCTCCCTCTCCCCTCCCTCCTACCCCGCATCGGGGCTGGACGAGATGGTGAAGCGGCTGAAGGCGGCGGTGGGCAGCACGGGAACTGTGAGGCATCTCAAATCCCGTCCCTCCACCCACCCCTCCACGTCCCCCCACACCCCCTACCCCATCCCCACCCCCCGCTCCCCCCCCCCCCGGGGCAGGACGAGAAGGTGGGGCGGCTGGAGGCAGCGGTGGGGCAGCGGGGAAGCGGCGCTGCAGCTGCTGGAGGAGAGCGGGGTGGACCACTTGTACGACACCGCCATCACCATGCTGCGCGCCGGCTTCCACCCCGCCCAGGAGCCGCACCTCAAACGCATGATCCAATCCGTGCGGTACTGATGGGTGCCATGCGGGGGTGATGGGTGCCGTGTGGTGCTGTTGGGTGCCATGTGATTCCTGATGGTAGATGCTGTGTGTTCATCCATGTCATATGCTAGTGCTGCAACTTCCTTCCCTGCCTGAATCACCCAGCATTCCGCGTGCACACTGCATCCCACTCTACCACTCTGCACCTCTCGCCCTGCCTCCCATTTCCGCCATGAACTGCCCTACCTCCCTGCAGGGCCCTGCAGCTGCAGGGACTCATCTCGCGGGCACGCATATTCGTGAGGGACGGTCGCTGGCTCATGGGCGTTGTTGATGAGACCGGGTTGCTGCAGGTGAGTGAAAGAGCGGATGAGTGTTCATCGTGCTAAATGGACTACCCAAGGTGCTTTCGTGGATTACTACTTTTCGTCAAAATCCATCATTCTTCTCCATTCCGTGGCCCCTTTGTGCCCCACCGGCAGTATGGGCAGTGCTTCATCCAGGTGTGCGATGCCACGGCCCCTACACCTGGCGCCACCTTCAGGCTGCAGAGCACAAGCTGTGGCATGGGCCCTCCACGGGTGGTAAGAGGCCCTGTGGTGTCTGGCAAGAACCCGTGCCTGCACCAGGGGGACCTGCGGCTGCTCACGGCCGTGGACGTGCCGTGCCTGCACCACCTCATTGACTGCCTCGTGCTGCCCAAGAACGGCCCGCACCCGCACGCCAACGAGGCGTCGGGGAGTGACATGGACGGGGACGTGTACTTTGTCACGTGGGACCCGCGCCTGCTGCCTCCTGGAGGAGAGAGCAGTGAACCCATGGACTACCAGCCGAACAAGAAGGACGGCGATGCTGCCGTCACCATGCAGGTGGGTGGGAGGGGGGGCATGCCTTAGGTACTGGTCTTATCGTTATTGGTTGCAAGAGAATCTTTATACTGTTTTGGGTTTTACAAATTGATAGACATGTCTACTGTCTACCGTGCCCAACCCATGCTGTCTACCGTGCCCAACCCATGCTGTCTACCGTGCCCAACCCATGCTGTCTACCATGCCCAACCCATGCTGTCTACCGTGCCCAACCCATGCTGTCTACCGTGCCCAACCCATGCTGTCTACCGTGCCCAACCCATGCTGTCTACCGTGCCCAACCCATGCTGTCTACCATGCCCAACCCATGCTGTCTACCGTGCCCAACCCATGCTGTCTACCGTGCCCAACCCATGCTGTCTACCGTGCCCAACCCATGCTGTCTACCGTGCCCAACCCATGCTGTCTACCATGCCCAACCCATGCTGTCTACCGTGCCCAACCCATGCTGTCTACCGTGCCCAACCCATGCTGTCTACCGTGCCCATCAGGACGTGCACCGGTTCTTCGTGGACCACATGCTGAACGACAGCGTGGGCATCATCTGCAACGCGCACGTGGTGCACACCGACCGCAGCCCCCTGGGCGCGTTCGACCCCGCGTGCCTCACTCTCGCCCGCCAGGCCGCGCTGGCCTTCGACTTCCCCAAGACGGGCGTGCCGGGCGTGATGCCGCGCGACCTGCGCGTGTACGAGTACCCGGATTTTATGGAGAAGGACGAGCGGCAGGACACGTATGAGTCGAGCAAGGTCCTGGGGCAGCTGTACCGCCGAGTGAAGCGCCTTGTGCTTGGGCACGAGGCCGATGATACCCCACGCGTGATACCGGCCGTGGAGGAGGAAGAGGAGGAGGGGGAGGAGGGGGAGGGCAGTGACGAGGAGGTGGAGGCAGAGATGCAGCAAGGGGGGAATGGAGGGCGGGAGGGTGGTGGCAGGGGGTGGGAGGGCGAGGCGGACATGATGGCGGACCGACGCACGTGGCTGTGGTGGCCGGGGGCAGATGAGGTGGGGCGGGCGTACCGGGCGGATTTGAGGGCGGAGGGGTTTGAGAGGCACGTGGAGGAGGCGAGGTGGCTCAAGCTGGAGTACGACCGATCCATGCTGCACATCCTACACCAGGTGAGTCCAATGAACGATTGCAAAAAGATCTACCAACCAGCTCCCCGTCCCTCTTCCAAATTCACATTTTGCAAATCTTGTGCGGTTCCGCCTTCAACTTGATATGTGCATGTGCCTGTTCAAGTGTGCATGTGTGCATGTGCATATGTGCTTTGTACAAATGTGCATGTATACATGTCCATGTATGCATGTGCATGTGCGCCTGGGCAGTTTGGAATCATGTCTGCTGCATGCGGCGCACAGGCAGGGGCGGCGGGAGGAGGTGGTAGAGGAGCATGTGCGCAACATGTTCCTCTCGCTGCACCACCATTACCACCGCCTCCTCGTGAACGGCGTGGAGGGGAGGGGGGAGGATAACGTGGGGGCTGGAGGGGAGGATGGCGAGGAGGGCCATCGTGATTCCTTCATGGCTCCCCGCTTTCCCCAGCAGCAGCGGAGTGATCAACGGCAGCCCGTGGGATCACAGGTCAGTGTGCTTGCAGATGAGGACAGGGTGGAGTCAAGAGCAGAGCATGCTTGTTGGGTTGCCAGGCTTGCTTTTGTTGTGCTTCTCTGGTCGTTCATGTTGCAGTCGAGGAAAAGCCCAATGGATGACAGAAACATGCTGTGCTTATGTCACCTTCGATTTTCAATCATGTTAGGAAGACTCACATGCTGGGCAGGTGGATCTGCAAATGTGGCCTTAGACTTCCTGTGTATGTCTCCACTTGCAAGAATGAGCATGTGTGCGTGCGTGTGTGCCTGCGTGAGTGACTCTGCGTGTGCATGTGTGCTCATGTGTGGGTTTGTATGTTTGTGTGCGCATGCGTAACCAAGTCCTGGATGAGCCTGTTTGCCTTGACATCTCCACCATTCGAGCCCGCGCCTTCGAATGGTACCATGTGTGCTACCATCCAGCGGAGATTGAGCGTGTGCAACAGGAGGCACGTAGTGGTGGCCTCAATGTACCTCCAATATTTCTTAGCTTTGCTTGGATTGGAGAAGATTCATTGTGCCATCACTTGATATAAAAATATCCTAGGACAGTATAGTCGAGAGCATTGTCTTGTAGTTCAAAGTCGAGGGAGATACGAAGGTAACCTAGAATGGGTTGTACCCTCTAAGGGCAGCTCAATGTAGCCTAGAAACCAAACAATGCATATAAACATTATTTGACACACCCCCATAGGCTAAGTGAGGTGCATCCAAGAACTAGCAAGGGAAACAGCGGTCACAAGACCAGTCAAGAGCAAGCAACAAAACAAAGCTCAGGGTGGCGCTCAGAGTCACCACACACTCCGAGCACAAACAAGAGGCCACAATGCCAGTTCAAGAGTTCACTAGGATATATAGAAACAAGGCAAGCAAAGCAAACAGCAAGCTACAGCAAACGAGGGCCTGCCTCAACAAGCCCTTGCTGCACACATAACCTGTTGTGGTCACTAGGCGCCAAGGCCTTGGTGAAGACGTCAGCAGTGTTGGACTCTGAGGCCACAAAGTCCAAGCGTGCCTGGCCGCGTCGCTGCAACTCTCGCAGGAGAAAGTACATCACATCAATGTGCTTCACTCTGCTCTCCAGTCGAGGTTCTCGACACAGGAGGATCATGGCCTTATTGTCACACAGGGTCGGTGCAAAGCGAGGCCGCTCACCAAGGTCGGTGAGCAAGAAGGTCAACCAGCGAAGCTCCTGTGCCGCCATGGCACCAGCGTAGATCTCTGCCTCTGCACTGGACGAAGCCACAGACGACGACCGTGTAGACCTCCACGACACAGCACCAGCACCCAGACAGAAGCAGTAACCCTGAGTCGAACGCTGAGTCTCCACGTCGTCAGCGTAGGAAGAGTCGCAGTTACCGGTCAACTCAACTGACTAAGTCCCTCCAAGCACAAGCCCCATGCTTGATGTAGTCGCCAGGTACTTCGCCACCTGCACAGCAGCTGTCGAGTGAACAGGACGGTGTCTCCCAATCGCAACAAAGCGAGAGAGGACGCTGAGGGGAAAGGCAAGGTCCAGCCGAGTACAAGTGATCAGGTACATGAGGCAGCCCACAAGCTCTGCGTAGGGACCACTGGACTCAAAGGGCTCGTCGGGAAAGGGGCCAGTGAGTCTGTGGTCAACAGCAAGAGGAGTGGGCTGGGTGGTGGAGAACTGAAACTCGAACCGCCGAAGGACCTGCTGCACCAGGTGTGACTGAGTCAGTGTGATGGTGCAAGCGGCTCTGTCCGTGGTGATCTGCACACCACGGTAGCGCTGCAGTTCACCGAGGTCAGTGCACGTGTGTCTCTTCTGGAGTTTGGACTTCACCTGAGCCAGAGCTGCCCTGTCTTCTGTAGCAAAGACCAAGTCGTTGACGTAGATAAGTATAAAGAAAGGAGTGGAACCAGCGCGAACAAACAGCGACGGGTCGTCAGAAAAAGGACGGAACCCAAGGTCACAAAGCGTGGAGCGAAGAGTGTCGTGCCACTCATGGGGCGACTGGCGGAGACCGTAGACTGGTCGTCTCAGGCTCTACTGGGTCCTAGGTGGGAAGGTGTCCGTGAAGCCAGGAGGACGCCGCAACCAGATCTCCTCGTGTAGGCGGCCCTGGAGAAACGCAGTGGAGAAGTCGAGAGAGTGCAGCTCGTAGTCTCACTGTGCTGCTACGTGAAGTAACACCCGAAGATTCGTCATCTTCGGGGTCGGGGCGAAGGTCTTGAAGAAGTCAACTCCCTCACACTGAGTGAAACCTCTAGCCACGTAGCGTGCCTTGAACACAGGCGGTGATCCAGGCGGCCGCTTCACCTTGAAGAACCACATGCCATCGACAACGTTCGCCCTGGGAGGGGGAACTGCGTCAACGTACATGCCTGTGGATCTCCAAGACGCTAACTCTGAGTCCATAGCCGCTTTCCACTGAGAGGCCCACTCCCCTGACACTGCCTCACGGTACGTGCGAGGAGTCGGTATGTCAAGGGCGTCGGGGTCTCCCTCAGGGGATAGCAGCATGGCACAGAGAGAGGGAGAAGCGGCTGCTAAGTACTCCAGCTCAGACTGTCTTTCCTCTAGGACATCACAGCCAAGGGCGCCCCCGACGGACAGAGGACAGGAAGGTGGAGCTGGCACCACACGCGTGGTGAAATCAAGGCGGCTGGTGGCATCAAACTCAGCGACAGCGGCAGTGAGAGCCGAGACAGACGACGGAGAGAAACGAGAGTCGGTGGCAAGAGTGGCGAGAACACGGGAGACAACAGGGCGAGCAACACGGTAGTAGTCAGAGATAGGAGTAGGGGAGTCAAGAAGAGAGAACAGAGGAGGAGATAGGAGAACGGACACAGGTGAAGAACGACGAAGAGAAGAACAAAGGAGGGCAGTGCGGAGGTCGGTAACGGAGGACGAGGGACGAGCAGGCGGAGGACAAGGACGGACACGGTACTGTGGGACAACAGGAGGAGGAGACAGTGACCGAGGAGAAGACCAGACCGCTGGAGAGTCATCAGGAGGAGAAAATGCAGGACCAAAGGTAGGGGAAGACTGAGAGTGGACAGGACAAGAGGAGGGAAGACCAAGGGCCCGCGGACCACTCACTGGCGGTAACAACTGCCGCTCCAGAGGGAGCTGCTGCGGCGGCTGCTGCTGCCGCTACTGCTCCTCCTGCTACTGCTGCTGCTGCTGCTGCTACTGCTGCTGCTGCTGCTGCTGCTGCTGCTCAAGCAGGTCCAACCGCCGCAGCTCCTGCCTCTCCCTCTCCAACTACTCCTGCTCCTCACGCGCACGCCGGCGGGCTGCCTGGAGACGCGTGTCGTGTTGGTGGGGAGGCTGAGCGGGCACCGCAGAAGTAGTGTCTCCAACTTCAGTCTCCTCAGAACTAGCACCCCCAGTGCCAGTGTCTCCAGAGGTAGCACCACCAGTGTTAGTGCCTCCAGCTCTAGCACCCCCTGAACTAGCAACTCCAGTGCTAGCACCTCCTGCTCCAGCACACCCAGAACTGGCACCCCCAGTGCCGGCACCTCCAGCTCCAGCACCTCCAGAACTAGCACCACCTGTGCCAGCACCTCCAACTCCAGCACCCCCCAAACTAGCACCTCCAGCTCCAGCATCTCGCGAACGAGCACCCCCAGACCGAGCACCGCCGGTGTCAGCACCTCCAGATCCAACACCCCCAGAGTCCACAGTAAGCTGTCGCGGAAGTGCTGAAGGCTGCTGAGTTGACTGTGAGGAGGACTGCAGGGAGGGAGACGCTACCTGACGCGTGACCGAGGGGAGAGGGGTAGCGTGAGACACACCTGACGGGGCAGGACCGGGGGGGGGGGGGGGGGGGGGGGGGGGGGGGGGGCGGGGGGTACCGGAGGAGTGGGAGTAGGAGGAGGAGAGGGTGGAGGAGAGAGGAGGAGGGGGGACCGGGAGACCTCGACAGGGGTACTTGGCATAGTAGGACACTGACTCGTCAAACCAGACGTCACGGGAGTCTAGGAACTGGTGGAGAGGCGGATGGTAAAAGGCGTAGTCGGGAGAGTCCACCGGGAAACCAAGGAAGACACAAGGGATGGCACAAGCCGAGAGCTTGTCCGCAGAGGTGTTGCGGACAAGCGCAAGGCAGCCCTAGACACGAAAGACCAACCCAACACCAAGGGACCCGGTCCAAAGACTGATCGGTGAAGCCTCTAGCCGTGAGACACGCAGCTGGAGGTTCAGCTAGTGCGCGGCGTAGCAAACTGCGTAGGGCCACAGAAAATGGGGCACACGGACATGGATCATGGACGCGTGGGTGATGTCCATGACCAAGCCAATGCGGCGCTCAGCAACCCCATTCTGCTGTGGGGACTCCGGAAGTGTCCAGGACTATGAGATACCTTGTTCGCCGCAAAAATCCGCGAAGAATGCCGGAGCGAAACTCGCGCCCACGGTCAGAGTGGAGAGAGGAGACACAACAACCACGAGTGCCGTCAGTGGCCAGAAGCCACCGGATCAGCATAGAAGTCACCTCAGACTTCTTCGCGAGAGGAAACACCATGGTGTACCTGGAGTAGTTGACGACGACCACCAGAAAGTAGCGCTCCCTCTCAGGTCCCTACGTAGGGGCAAGGCCCCAGACGTCCAAGTGGAGAGCCTGGAAGGGAGCAGCAGCCGGACGAAGGGAGGAGGAGTGCGGAGCGGCGCGCAGGCGGCCGGCGATGCAAGGAGTGCACGGCGGTGCAGGCGAGGGAGGGAGCGACGCAAAGACGCGAGGGAGACCCGAGACAAGATGGTGACTAGCCATGCCGCGGAGGCGGGGGATCGACGGGTGGCCAAGGCAATGGTGCCACAAGATGGCCGGGTGGGCGAAAGACTGACAGGAGCAAGACGCAGCAACCTGACCAGACGCAGCAACCTGACTAGACACAGCAACCGGAGGGGACGCAGTAACCTGACTGGACTTTGCTACCTGGGGGGACGCAGTAACCTGGCCGGACTCTGCTACCTGGTGGGACGCAGTGTGCAGAACGAAGAGACCTGAGTGGGGCTCCCTGGTGAACGTGGTAAGAAGTGCCCCGGTGGAAGCATCCGTACAGATCGCCGTCCTCCCGTGCGCAGGAAAAGTGACTGTGATCCCAAGTACTGAAGGTATCCAACACCCACCAAGTTTCGAGAGAACGAGGGGATGTAGAGACCAGTGAGGAAACCAGAAGGGACAGTCGGGCACGGGAGAGTGGTCGAGCTGCGAGCGACTGTTGGTCCTGAAGTAGGATC